TTTCCTATTTGGGCTCTAATTCTATTGCTGCGAAGAGGCGCTCACAAGATTTTCCAGAGGGTTTTTTCCTCTTCTCTCCTCACTACCGTGGATTGTGCCACCAACTCACTCACAGGAAAAAAAAAAGTTCGGTCTTTTTGTACTATTGCTGCTGCTTCTTTTTCCTTGGAGTCTACTCCTAATCTTTTCTTCTTCTTTTTTTTGTTAATTTTTGTTGGTGTTTACATTGCAGAACTTTCTAATAGGGTAGAAACCAGAATTGTATAATTTCCGCTATTTGTTTCTGTTGAGAGCTCTCCGCGCAAAAAGAGGACACCAAACCACAAATGCCAAGGACAATCAGAAGGACTTTTTTGTTGGGGCTCTCCGCAGTTCCTGAATTTTTTTATTCTCCAAAAGGTTTGTTTTGGAGTAGTTCTCTTTTTATTATGATTTGTTTTGATTCTGCTTTTGCCATTCAATAGGGAAATAGTTACTGCATCATGAAATCTTGAATGATATCTAATCTTGTCTATGCTCACTGAATTTAACTTGGTCCTAATCTTTTCTTATTTTTCAGGTTGTCTAATCTGTTGTTTTTTTCATGGATGTTCCAATTAAACTTCTTGGAGATGGTATCGTCTTCGTCGTCCTCCTCGTAAGAATTTGATTATTTGTTCAAGTTGTTGTTGATTGGGGATTCTAGAGTAGAAAAAAGTAGTCATTGCTCAGCTTTCCTCTAGATACCTTCGAAGATCTCTCTCCTACCATAGGTAATACTGATTTTTTTTATTTTTCCCTTTCATATCTTTTGTATTAAAACGAATTTGAAGTTTTGATCTCAATATTCACATATGGTTATGATTTTGGATGGAAAGGTAGGATTTAACGAGAATGTTTGAGTTGCTGAATTCTATTTAATCTAGCAGAATTTCATGTAATTGTGTTTGTTTTAGGTTGTTGTCAGTTAGTCATCAAATTGAACTCTTTCAGAATATGAAGAATTATAAGGAGAGTGAGAAATGGAGAGATATTGTCAGCAGAAATAGCAGAATTGTGGAACCTGAGTCATGTTATAAGGACTTTTGCAAGATAGTTCCTTTTTAAAATTTCTTTTTTTGAATCTTATTAAATTGGCTGAATGTTTGTTCTTCTTTTGTGTTTCAAACCAATTTTAAATGTACATGGAATATGGAATATTTGCTGATCAATTGGTTTCATGTCAATTTATCTTATGTTAGTTGGACAAAGGTGTAGACCTTTCAACCCTGGTAAAAGTTCTCATGACTTACTATTTTTGGGGAAATGATTATGTTTGCATTGGTGTATTGTATACTCTCTCCACCAAACCTGGTTTGTTTTGAACCTATTTAATTGCAAAGTGAAAATTGAAGTGGAAGGGAGGCCTTTTTATGCCTTAGGTTTGAACACATAAAATTTTGGTTTATTGAACTGGTAGACATTCTTTGTTGTTGTTCCCTAAATGTGATCTATATGAGAATACATTATCAATCACTTTAAAATTAATTGAGTTACAGAGGTTCCTTTACTGTCAATAAAGTGAATCACGTGGAAGACTGATCAAATGTTGTTTAATATACGATCGCAACAACATTACATCAAATTGGGACCAAAATTTGTCATAAATCCTCACTCCACTAGATATCTGCACCAAAATTTGTACTTCTGTTACTAGCTTTATATACTTGTGATATTGTAATGTACTCTTTTTCTGACTTTATGTTTCTAATATTTGACTGTTTTATAATAAAGAACTAAAATACCATCTCTTTATATGTCAATGGTTCAAAAAAGTTGATTAGCCTTGAGAAATTACCTCCATGTTTAGATTTGAATACTTTTCTCTAATTAATACGCCTAGGCTCTCTTTGATATGTATGCTGGATTATTTGAAAATTTGGAATATAATGATGAGCTACTTTAGTAGCATGATAAGGCTCTTGGTGTAAGGGAAAAAAACTGATAGCATACGGATTTGCTACATGTATTAGTGAGCCACTAACTTGATGTCCTAATTATGATAGTCTATTTGTGGTAAATTTTGCTTTACCAAGCAAATAAAATGATGGACACTTGGCTACTTGTCTTAATATTAGTACCTGATGATTGGGAATGCTTTGGGGAAAAGCTACCCGTTTCTACTTTGGATTGATTAAGCATAGAGCATACTGCATTACTTCATATGTAAAGCTCATTACCTTTTTGTTGTTCTTCAGGTTCAGGAACTTCATTGATTGTACCAGATATAGATAAAACTAGCGAAAAATTTGCAATTGAAAGGCGTAGGTACATTAGGAAAAGATAATCACTGTCTCTGTACCATTTAAAAAAATTTTGTTTCGTAAGATTTTCTGGTGGCTTTTGCTTCTCTGCCTTACTATGCTTCTTACAATATATGCCAACAGTCATTTGGTTGTCAATAGTGAGAAAAAAGATAAGTATTTCAAGCTTCTTTACCCACTAAATGTAAAAAACAGGAATCTATTATATTATTCTAGAAGACCTTTCAGAGAAGAAAACACTCTTCTATAACTTTGCGTATAAACGTTTCTATTGTTTATCCTTAATTTTCATTTTATCATTTACTACATAATTTCTTCATCTATCTGGAACAACTTTCATTGGTGCAGATTCTTCAGCTGCTCGCCAAACAACTATGAACTATGCTTCACACACACTTAGTTGATTCTTAAGATTTGCTCAACAAATAGTATGGCAAAAAATAGTTTCATAGAGTTTGATCTTATGCAACTACTTGACTCTTGCTCAGTAAAGTCATGATCAACTAATAGGTTTGGAATTTTTTTGGCGTACATCTCTATACTTTTATTTTACTGCTAATTAGGCATTAGTTTTTGGTCTCCATTTCTATTTTTTGCACCAATGTTTCCATATGTCAAACATTTTCTCACAAACCTGGTCTGATGGTAGTGTTGATAAGTGATTCTTTGATAATCTAGTGCGGGCTTAAAATCTAGCCTTAATACAAATAGTTCTATTATGTTTATTCTTTGCACTGCTGCATTTAAAGTAATACCGCCATTGCTGTCAAGACAAACCCAAAACAATGGGAAAGTGGTTCATTCCAAGCTCACTTTACCCAAGAAAACAAGGCTTCTTCGCCTCCTAAGGCTACTATGATTCTTTTGTAGCAACCAATCCTAATTTATGAGCTCCTAATACAGAAATTCATAAAGCTCGAGTACTACCTTTTACTTCTTCCCGATTTGGTGAATACAAATAGTCTTATCGACTAAAGAAACAAATAGAATACAAAGTAAAGTCAAAGATTAAAAAACAAGCTATATTCCATAATAAAAAGATTAAGTAATTGTAATTCAAATTATTGACATAGAATTCAATAAAACAAACTATTTTTATACTTTCTATGTAGCATTACTTTTTAGTTACGAACATAGTATAATAATTATATAATAGAAACTGGTCGCGCAACGCGCGACAAAGACAAGCCTAGTTTTACTTAATAAATATTTTATATCATTATTGATATATTTAAAATAAATATGTATTTTTGACATCTTGATGACATTATCCGGTTTTATTCCGGGCTAATGGGGTTAACCCAATGATCTAGTGACCGCCTACTTATACCGGTCCGGTTTTAAATTCCGGTCTGAAAAAACTGGTTCATATCATAGATTAGAGATATTTTTTATTCTCTCGGATATGTTGTGATAGATTGCTGTGAGTTTCAAATTCAGAGAAGAGATCCCGAGTGTCAAAATTGGCTTAAGAAAGATACATATGGGTAGGTTGAACTCCAGTACTCCACTATAAAATTATGATGATACCCACCAATTCAATGTGAAAATAATGTCCACAGAGAGATGAAACCATAGCTTGTCGATTGTAGAAACAACAAACATAGATATCTCCGAAATTGTTTGTTAATAGCAAAGGTTTGAATTTGGTGAATATGTTTAATATGTCCTAAGTCCAAAGATTTCAAACGACTTTATCAATTTCTTGAATGCCAAAATTGTTGACTTCAATATGATTGAGAAGGTTAGCAGTTTCACGAGAGGGCGAAAATCAACGAAGTTATTCTCTCCTTCTTGGAGTGGGAGAATCGTTAAACCAGTCATAGGACGGTTGGGTTTAGGTTTCTGATTTTTTTTTTTTTTTTTCCGGTGATCAGCCGCCTGAGGTTTGAGATTGGGGAGGAAGGTGAGGTGAAAAATAATGAAAACTAATAGTATTTTTTTAAAATGGGCAGTTGCGTCTTTTTATATTAAATTTGTTTTGGATGCTAAAATTTATTTGACAGAATCACTCCCGTAACTTATTTGTCTTAATTTGCATCATTAAATTTGCACTTTCTATGGTCCATTGTAAGATATATAAAATGTACTGTATACATTAAAATTAAAATTAGTTTAAAATTTATATTTTATATTTTAGATGGGACATTTGGTCCCCCGGGCTCAGCAGAATGACTACAATCTTAGCATCACCTGTTTAACTCATTTATTATACATTTATGAACATGAATTATACGTATGTTAAACTTGAACTAGTAATATATTTTCCTCGACTATGTTCCACTTGAACTAGTAATATACTTCCTTCCGCGAACAAAATATATAAATCAAGACCTAATACATAATTTATATCGTTTTCACTTCAACTCATAAACCATTTTTTTTTTGAGACCCTTGAAATAGTAAAAAGATGATTATATTCTTTTCGTTCTATGACAACTCAGATATTTTAAATATTACTAAGAAAAAGTTTGGGTGAAAATTGAATATGCAACATATGAACACAACGCTTTAAGAACTAGCTTTCACATATTTGGCGGATTCAGCCAAAACAAGGTTCAAAAAAGAATTCAGTTTATGATTATTGTGTTGTAGGTTAAAAAAAAACATAGTTTTTTTTGCCTGGGTTTTACCCTCTCTCGCTTGTTACATTCCCGATTTCGCACCCGAACTTGTTACCTCGGGCTTGTCTAAGGTGGTTTATCTCCTACAGTAGTTATTGCAGTGAACGTGGTTTTACCCATTTCTTGTGGGGTTCCTGACGTTAAAAAAAAATTGAGATTAACATATCATGAATATTCATAAGCTTTCTGATCCAATTGGATCCATAACAAACCCAAACATAAGCAAGAGAGTAGATACATATTACATGCTTTGTAACTAACAAAGGAGCTAAAAGAAATTATAGCTAGACGTTCATCATGGAAAAAAGCAAAATTATTTCAGAGATCAACCAAAACAATATGGAAGAGAAAATTTTTTTTCAAAAAAAGAAGATAAAAGTTAAGCAACAAAAGGGTCGGGTAGAAATAAATGAATGGGATGGAAGAGTAGTGACTCAATTTCAGCTTTGGTTTGGGGATTTGAATGACCATGACCATCACCATACAGGTACAAACTTTGTGACATCCTACAAAGGTTCACTGAGATTCTAATGAAAGTTTGACAGAAAGGAGAATTTGCCACTCTTTCTCTATTCACTCGTTTCCAAGTTTGCCCAATCAGGTACTTTATGTAGTCGCGAGCATCTTCTTCATTGACACCAGTATTATCATGCATGTAACATTGAATTGATTTTGGTACATCACCTCGTGCCAATTCGTCCTATAATAATTACCAGAAAATTAAATGTACGCTTTGTTGAACTTATATTAAAAACCGCATAATATAATTTTGAGATCAAAACGTACCGAGGACGTGCCCAAGTCATCGGCATATCGCACAATGGTTGTTGACAAACGAACTATTTCGGGATATTTGTCTAAGCATTCCAAACCATCCTTTGAGATCGGATTTGTAACACAGAAAAAGGTATGCAGTATCATGGTTGGAGACGCTGAGGAGATCCAACCATCCTCCATGAATTCTTCCAGTGTCGGCTTATATCCACTGTAATACCATCTTGCCTCTTTCAAATATGCTCTGCATATATCCAACCACTACACATACACACACAGAGAACACATTTAATTAGTGATTAAAGTGTTAAAATTCGTAGATTAATCACATTAACAAGCTAAATTCATATCCTAAGTACTGATTTACGCTTGTCAATGTATATTCTTGAACCTTGTAAAGTACAGTTCTGTTGCACTACGTATATGTCACATTGTTATATCATTATACTTACTTCTGATTTACCTCTAAGTAGCTTACATAGTCGAGACTTCAGTTATATCTATATCCCGAGTGAAATAGTGGGGAGTGAGGGGAAATTAAACTGAATCCGGGCTATAGTTAGTTATTACCGGCTTTTTCAGATGTGAAATGATATGAACACCTTGATCTCTCAACACATCATAAGCCAGTTCATTGACAGCGTTGAAGACGGCTAAGTAACATATCTTCATATAGTATGGTAGCTGATCCATCACTTCCATATCCCATCTGTTGAAAAGGGAGAAAAAAAGAAAAAAAAAAAATTGGTAAAACAATATTCAACACTTGAGATATTAATGCTTAATGATTACTCCAATATCTGTAGTGTATTTTATGAGCTATAATAATGTATCAAACCTTTCTATTGCTTCAGTAAAAAGTTGTAGCTCCTCCAAAGTGCCATAAACATCATAGATGTCGTCTACTGCAGTTAGCAAAGCGTTGATCTTTGTCGATATTCTTCTGCAATATCCGTGTTCTGGTTCAAATGTTTCCCCTATAGTCCAATAGAAATTCTCCACCACCCTGTCCCGAACAAAGCTTAGTCTTTCTGCAAGCCCTGTACTGTTCCACCACCTGCACATATATATACACTCCATCGCATCAACAACTATTGTGTATGCCCGTTTAGAATACCTTGTTATATATATATATATATATATATATATATATATATATATTTATATATTTAAACGTGGCGCGTACCTTGATGCAAATTTAAGATCTTCCTGATGTGTAGCTTGGACAATATTGAAATCTAGTTTTGCAAATTCTAGCAACACCAGATCCGAGTCGGGTAGTTTCTCGTATATGTCGATGAACCACCTTGCCTCGGCGCGAGGCATTCGCCAATGCAGTGGAAGCTCAAGCGAATGCTGCACCAATTCCGCTAGATGTGGACTCAAATTCTTGTTAAACCCAAGGCTTCTTTTAAGATTTTTGGCTGCAAAATCTCTGGCTAACTTCAATGTGTTTTCATTTTCTATTTCTAAGTATGAAGCTTCATACAACGGAAGCAACCCTTTCCTGTCCTTAAGGTGCTGCTGCTCGAATTTTCCTTCTTCGTCCAAGAAGCAGTTGAAAACATCTGTAGCCAAATCTTATTAAGAACATGAAAAGAAGAAAAAGAAAAAAAAAAGATAGTTAAAAAATAACAATACCAATTACCTTGGGAGACATGAAAACCATAATGTCTCAAAAGTCTGAATCCCAGAGCAGTTGTATACAAGCAGCCCTTCTCATTTGAAGCATTAATGAAGCCATTGTGTATTTCCCTTAAAATTGACTTGATTTTCTCCTGAAGATGATAAGATACTCCAAGTCTGTCCAAGTCACTGATTAATTCCAGCTTACTTACCATGTCCTCATGATCTTCATCTAGCATCACTTCAACTTGTTCCTTTAGCTTGTTACGTCTACTAACGTAACTTGCTCCCTATATTCAATACATTCATTAAAACAGTCAATGTCCGAAACAAGTTTATAAGTCTCAAAAACAAGAAAAAAGTCATTAAATTTAAAAGAAATGAATTACTGAATATTCATTTTTTAAGGATTGAATGAATTCAAATCCCCAGTTGGGAGGCTGGTAATTTCCGGATCGCCTAATGATTTTTGTATGATCTTTGAGATCAGGATTCGGCTCAGGAGCACTACTACTCCGGATAAGAGAGAAATTACGGCTAGAAGAAGTGAATGACACAAGTTTTGTGCTTATGATTCTATTTTTTGGGCTGATAATGCTGCTGGGATTTTGAGGCATCTGAAAACATGAGTTCATCCAGAGTGCCATTTCGGGTTTCGAGAAAAAAAATGATTGAAAGTAATACGCGTAACTTTACTTAAATATAATTCTTTGCTCGTCCCAGTCTCCCTGACCTGGGGCAACTATGGTCTTCGTGGTCAAAGCAAGGTTATTAACGTACTCATTCCCGTCCTTATTATATGGCATTTCGATTTGTAGTTCATCTGTCTGAAAATTATTGTCTAGTTTGGATATTCACTTTTGGTATAAATTGCTCAAAGTTAAAATCGAAACTCGATAATATTTTTGGGACAAAGGGATTACTAAATTTTATTTAATATGTTTTTCTAATTGAAAATAAAATATTAAAAATGTATTTTCACATTTATTGTGTCATCTCAATTATTATAAAATATTTTTAAAATTTTTAATTTTAATTGAAAGAACATACTAAATAAAACTCAGAAAAACTCAAAATGTCATATAATAAGGACCTGATAGAGTATTTCATATACTACACCGTCCAATTTATAAGACAACAATAATAATATTATCAAAATTATTTATAAAAAAATTACTTAAGTTAGTTATTATTTACATTTAATTGCTTAAATATCTTAATTAAAATGTATATTTGATCATAAAAAATGATGTTATGGTTTCACCCAAACCCTAGGGTTAAAAGTTTTGCCTTTCTGGGTTTGAAATATTAGTTAGCATTGATATTCAGTTCAAGATTGGGCTAATTTGGAAAACACAATTAACTAAATCTTAACTTCATCTACACCTAACAAATAGGCTACAGAAAACTTTTAAAAATGTCTTGTAATAATGATGATGGTATTTTATTAAGAGTACATAAATGTATAAAAAAATAGAAATCGTGTCACTCGTATTCTGTCTTGTCAAACAGGTCAACTAGTGGGACATGAAACAAACAAGTTTTTACGATTGAAGGGGCAATAAACATTTTTGCTTGAATTCTGTATTTTATCAAACAAAAAATTGAAAATTTAACTATGCTAATAATTAAAACAAGGTCGTCCTCCCCCTCCCTCCTTTGTGTGAGTGCGTCCGCGTTCATGATCAAAAGAACACGATCATGATTAATACTGGAGTAAATTAAGTCAAATTACATATTCGGTGACAGTCAATTGACAGAACTTGTGAGTAGTCAAGTCAGTCTTTAGAAGAGCAGGGTGAGTTGGACTGGTTCTTTGAAAATAAAGTTCTCACCACAAATATTTTCATCATTATTGTATGTCTGAATTCGATTTCGGATTAGTTAATTTGACCTAAGACCTTTATTCTTTGGACTTAGGCTTCAAATTTTTTCTTTTTGAAGAAAAATAAGTTGTTGAACTGTTCACTTGAACAAAGGTTTATTTGTGGTTTCTCCCTCTCTGTTCATTAATGTAACATTTTTTAAATAAAATATTATATTCTCATTATCTTTGGAAAACACAATTTCGTTTGTTAAATTAAAATAAAAATGTGAACTGTTGTTGGTTTTGGTAGTGGTCGTAGTAAATTAACAAATTATATTTAATTCGAAAAGGTTGCTTTAATCCTCCAATAAAGCATTTGTCCAAATGTATCGTTGTTTCATGAATTCAGAGATGATTCTATTTGGAAAACAAAGTGTGCGTATGAGCAAAACAGTCCAGATACTACCTACAGACTTTTGAGTTCATTCCACGTGCGCTTGTCGACTCCAATTACTTTAGAGAGTAGCTACCCAGCAAAATGATCGTATCAAACACTTAAAAAAACTCATATTCAATTTGTTTTACCTTTGCTGACTGTTTGTGCGAAAATATTAAGTAGAAATTGATTCACGCTTGTAAACAATATCAAACGAAAATGTGTAATTCGTGAGATACAATATTTGGTTAAGCGTAAAAAAGAGAAGGGGATAAAACTTGTAACAACTTGAATAAAACTAAATTGATGATAAATTGATGAACTTAAACGAAATACAATGAGTAAATTGAATAAAAAAAACTTGTGAAAAAAAGTATTTGAAAAGAAAAATAGGGTATGAAAAGAAAGATAAGACCTTTGCAACTTGTGTGTATGTGTGTGTTGATGATGAGTTATTCTTATGTCGCTCTATTCTCTTTCTTTATATAGGGCTCGGTAATCGTTTAGGGCGGTGCGATCTCCGATTCCTACTCAAACTCGATATTGCTAATTTAGAATTACAATTGACTTGTGTTTCCGATTTCTTATTTCTTGACGCAAATTGTAATTCTTCTTGGACTTGGATTTGGATTCCTCCTGCGCCGTGTTGGGCTTTCGACGCGTTTTGTTCTCCCATTTGGACATCGACTCTCCCCTCTCCGCATCGGATGTGTGCTTCTTGCGTAATTGGACCGATTCACCACTTTTCTTGGGCCGACTCGATTTTAATAAAAATCGGTGGCGACATAAAGCTCCCTCCCACCCCCTCCCCCAAAGGCATAGCTCATTTCTTCAATGTGATGTGCTTTTTGGATTCATCAGGCCAACAATGAATTGGCCTACTAGTGACAACCCACAAGTGTACTGGGTCAGAAAATAAGGTATGGTGCCCCCCCCCCTCTCAGTCAAAGGCGTGACGGAAGTGGCATTTTTGAATTAAGAAGTGGAACAAAATCTGTTTCAAATTGAGCTATTGGGAGAGGACTTGGAAATCAGTATTAGATCCTACGAATCGAGGAGTATCCTTTCACTCAAAGGTGTGATAATAACGGTGCTTATCCTCACCAGCCATTTCATTGCGTCTCTCTATTTTTTTCAAAATCCAAAGCTCAAATTCTTTCGCCTTTTCACCGATTTGACTCAAACAAAACCCTAAACCCGAATAACACAAATCCTTGCAATCACCATGGCTGATATGTACGCAGTGAAGTTCGATGCGGATTTAGCAAAAATCAGAGGTGTGAAACCGGAAGAGCTGGTGTCATTGTCATCGGATTTCCATGAACTGCTCAACCCACATGGACCGCCGGGTCACTATTCGTTGGGGCCTAATTTTATGGCAGATAACACCACGCTCCGAGAATATGTGCCAGTGTAGCATCCAAAGAATCCATCCCACAGGTTCCTGTGTACCGGATTTGGACGTATCAGGGGATGGCCATGGACATCGGAGAAAGGGAATGTTCACCAAGAGTTCTGCAAGTGGGCCAAGATGATGGAGAAACATCATTCGGCAACCTGGAAGAAAGCCGGTATCTATGACTTGATCCAATTCTGTCATATGGGGGTTTTCGACAATAAAGTGCTATTGATGGTTGTGTCGAGATTCTGGAGTAGCTCTAGCAATGTCTTCTGTTTCCCATGGGGTTTTATGACTCTGACTCTGCTTGATGTGGCGGTGATAACCGGCTCTGTGGTTGCTAATGTCACAATTGATGGAGATAGTGAAGATGCCGAAGCGGCTACAGCTCTATCAAATTAACATCGAGGGCATGGACCGTATATCAAAGAAAACATGCCAAAGTCGTGTAAGGATCATCTGTAACATATCCGGTTCTTGGCATTATGGCTAAATCGATACATCATCTGTGGTAAGTCTTTCCAAATGACACAAGATATGTATCATATGGCTGCTATTCTAGCTTTTGGGATATCCATCAATTTATGTGAAATTATGCTATCAATGATTATTACAGTATAGATGAGATTAGGAAAGTTCGAATGAAACTGTGTTTGGTCCAGTATGGCTGTTATTCTTGTGGTTTTATATATACTTTCCTCAACTAAGGGTAGCAGGGATCAAACCAGTGGGGGTCAGTCATTGGGCCTTAGTGTGACCCATATTGGTGTAGCTAGATATGATAGCAAGTGGGTAGCCAAAGTATTATGGGAATCTGCACCTGATTTACTTGTGATTTTGAACGAAATGTCACATAAGCACTGGCTCCCCACCTTTGGTGCACATACACAAGTTGAAGCTGAGTCTGGGGAATGGAATGATGATAGTGCCTCTAGTCTAGCAAACGTATGGAGGAGGTTATTAGTACCCAAGGACTTGTATTATGGGTTTAAAAGTTTATCTCCCCAAACTAGTGAATGCAATATGCATGCCTATTACTATCCAACAGTGATGGTAGCAAGGCAGTTAAGTGTGACGACACTGAAATTTGACGTGCTTTACATTGATCAATAGTTAGTTAATTTCTAATTAGGAGGTTATATTTAATCTTATTATACATTTTGAGTTGAATCATAAAGGATAGTTTATTTACGTTGTTGACTTAAAATCTAGTTTCCAATATTTTCTTTTTCCAAGCCAACACGAGTAAAGATATTTGACTCAGTTTCAATTTAATACTCCTCCGATTTACAATTTCCAGAACCCCTTTGTTTGATATTCTTCTCAAAGTACCGACTGAGTTTAAAGGATTAGCTTCAGCTTATTTTAAATTATTTTTCTTTTAGCCTTATCACTCCCCAAAACCGATGTCCTCATCTTCTACCTTCACTGCCAAACTCATTTACTTTCCTCTCTCGTGCACCATCACTCTGATCTCTTATCATTCACCATTTCAACCCTTCAAAACCAGTAAATCAATTAAGATAAAAGGGAAAGGAAGCTAAGAAAGCTCATCTAAGGGACTAGAGCAAGGTACAGAAAGAGAAAGGGGAAAAAGGAAAGCAAGGAACTATTAAGGTATTGGATTTTAACTAGTACCCTTTGTAGCTTGATGTCTATTAGTAGGTTGTATTTTAGTTTTGGTTCTTGAATTAGAATTAGATATAGTGATATGAATGGTGGAACTACTGGTGGGTCAATTTCAGCTCGTCGGGGAGCTCGTTAGTGTTAATTTCTTGCCTAGTCGATGTTTGTTGCCATTGAATCTGGTTTTATCATTTCCTGTTGGTTTTAATGAAATAAATTGCTGGGAAATTGAGTCTAAGGCCTGAATATAGAGGGGGAAAAAGGGTGCTAGTAACCGCTGAATATAGGCCTGAAATATTGCTAACGCTGTACCCGCAAGGACTGGATGGTGCCTTGAAGGAAGAGCTTTCTATTGATGCTAACATCCCAAAACCGCATGTGGTTGATGAACAAGCTTTCCCAAGTAATCATACATGTTGTAACGGTGATGACATGGTAGGTGTTATAACTTGTTTCTAATACAGGGAAGTCTGTGTGTCAGTGAGAATAGGGCAGAGTTCTGTGGCTACCGGGAGTAAGAAGAGTCACAAAAGGAAGAAAGCAGCAGGACCATCGCAACCAATGAAACGGCAGACATCGGCTCGACTGACAGGAACCAAGAGAACAGCTACCAGTAGTTCCATGGTAAGTAGTTCCAAGGTAAGTTACTTGTGGCATAGAAATTAATGGCAATTGTAGATATCAAACGATAGATTGGTGACCATAATGTTTGTTACAGAAGCCTGAAATGGTAGACTTTTTCGCTGAAGACCCATACGCAAGTCAGCATAAAGAAGTGTTAGAGTCTGTAGATGGAGATGCTGCTAGCAGCACGGAGCAACATTTGTCTTCGCCGCAACAACGACAACCAGATTCCAGAACATCACAAAGAAGTGCCAAGCAAACCGTTGTCACTCCAGCGATCCCAACAATTGAGGAGTTACAAAAGCGTTTGTTCCACAAGATGGAGGAAACAACTGCAGAAGTCAAGACCAGTGGCAAAGCAAAACAGTCTGTTGGAGCTGCGTTGAGAGAACTGCAAGGGCTGTCGAAGATTAGTGCAGAAAAAATTCATGCCATGTACCACCAGTCACTGAATTGGGCATTGGAGACCATTAAGGGAAGTGACTTGCCAGAACCGATCAAAGTGACAGTTGCCCTGTTTTTAGCCAACTTTGAGCAAAGAAAGATTAGTTGTGAAATCTGTGTGAAGCATGTGGAAGACTACAACCATGCAGCCATGGCACATCTAGAAGCTGAAAAGACGGCAAAAACTCTAGTAGAACATGCAGCAGCAGCTGCAGCTCAAGCAAGAGAACTGGCGGCAAAACAGGTGGCATTGGAAGCTGACCTGAAAAACGTCTGGGAACAACGCCAAGAAGCTGACCTGTTGTACCAAAAAATGGCGCAACAATGCGCAGATGCAATCACCATGCGTGATGAACGTGCCCAGGACACCAAGGAAAAATCTTTTCACTATGAACATGCCCAACTCATTATTGCAGAAGCCACCAAGATGTGAAATTTCCTTAAGGGCACGTTAAAAGATGTTGTTGTTCCTGCAAAAACTCCCTCTCTAGATGCAACGCTAGAAGCAAACAAAGAGGAAGATCAATCAGAGGTAGAATTAGTTTTAGGTGATGCTACTGGGGAGTCAAGCAGTACGGGGAAGGCAATCTGGACTAACAATAACCATAAGCCCTGCCACCTACATGTGGTTGCAAAGGATGGCGACTTGTGCCAAATTTATCTCTTTTGATTTTGTATGAAATTATGGCTTTTTTTGGAACTGTTGAAGTACTTGGTATGACTCTGTCATTAATAACATTTTGCTGCAATTTGTTTGGCTTGGTCTTGATGTTGTTGCTCCAACTGTTCCCATCGAGACAAGTAGTACTTCTTTAAATAAGTGGCATTGATAGATCTTTCATTGATTTTGCCATCTAAGGTAGCCAATGTATATATGGTGCGTCCTAAGTGGAGATGAATGACAAAAGGTCCTTCCCAAGTTGGTGTCCACTTGCCGTATTTAGGATCACGTTAACCAATTGGAAGAATGGCTTTCCAAACCTTCTCGCCGACTTGAAAGTTACGTTGTCGAACATGCTTATTGTACTGTTTAATAACTAGACTCTTTTGATACTCAATGTCTAGCCGCATTAATCCGGATTTCTTCTATCTGATCTTGTTGAATTTGTATACTCAGAGTATATTCAATGGAATTAATCAGATTTGACTTGTAATCCCAAGAAATAGAATTAAGTGTTTAATTGGGACTATTGCATCATGGCCATAAACTAACTCATACGGTGTAGCATGCATTCTGCCACGATTGGACATACGATAAGCCCATAACACTTGTGACAAAAGAGAATGCCAAGTCCTGGGATTGTCGGAGATGTGACGATTCATGATATTCTTGATAATCTTGTTGCTAGCCTCTGGTTGACAGTTCCTTTGTGCAAAATATTGAGATGAATGAGTTAAGAAGAAACCAGTGTCTTTGGCAAATTCTTGCATTTCCGTGCCAAAAAAATATTGTGCTTGATTAGTGATAATAGATTCAGGAATTCCAAATCGATACAAGATATGTTCCTGTATAAATCGGATAACTGTCTTTTGGTCAACGTCTTTGAGTGGCACTGCTTCTACCCACTTTGTGAAATAATCGGTTGTTACCAGAATATACCGATGGCCGCTAGAAAAAGATGGATGAATCATGCTGATGACGTCCAATGCCCAGCGTCGAAAAGGCCAAGGCTTCATTATAACTTGCATGGGCACAGCCGGAACGCGTGGAATATCTCCATAACACTGGCAATTAGTACAGCCACAGGCAAAAAAAATACAATCATGTGTCATAGATGGCCAAAAATACCTCTGTCGACGAATTAACCAAGCCGTTTTCCGTCCCCCTTGATGGGCGCCACAAGCACCTTCATGTGTTTCTAACATGATGATAGTGGACTCTGGACAATTAAGGCATTTGAGAAGAATTTCATCGGCGGTCTTGTGGTAAAGAGCTCTATCCAGCAGAACAAATTGAGTAGCCCGATGTCGGGTCTGAATATCAGTCGGCAAAAAATCTGGGTTGAGAAGGAACTGGATAATAGGATGTCTCCAATCACCGACATCAACTTGTGGTTGAATGGTATTAACAGGGACTAATGCTTGCTCATGATACGCAGGAAAATCAAATTCAACAGTATCATACTGCCAAGAGGAATCCACTTCCAGAATATAATCAGATGCAGATTGTGCCATTGCATTGGCTTCTTGGTTATCAGAGCGCAACACATCGGTGAAGGTGATGGTATCAAAATGAGACTTAAGTTTGTCGCCAAGAGTTACATATTGTGTTAAGATGTCATCTTTCCGCTTCATAGTAATCTTCATATGAACAACCACAAGAGCAGAATCGCCGATGATTTCTACGTTGCGTGCTCCATTGTGTATCAATGTATGGAGACCAAAAATCAAACCTTCATACTCTGCTTGATTATTAGTAACATGAAAATTCAAACACACACGTATTTGCAGTACTTTTCCAAGGGGGAATAGATAACTACTCCTGCTCCGCACAAGTGAAATATGGCAGAACCATCGAAATAAAGCTTCTACGGTATGGTTGGGGCTATATCAACTTGAAAGGCTGCAACCTCTATCTCAGACCAGTTATCATCCACTGAAGGATGTGTTGCTAAAAAATCCACCAAAGCTTGTCCCTTAACAACTGATTGTGGAACATGTTGAAACTGAAATTCTATGAGTCCCAATATCCATTTGTCAATCCTACCACTCATGTTACAATGGTTAAGCATGTATCGGACTAAGATGATCTTACTAATCACACAAACCAGTGTAGGCAACATGTAATGGCGGAGCTTTGTAGAGGCAAAGTAGAGAGCTAAACATAAGTTTTCGGTAGCTGGATACTTCCGTTCAGTAGTTGTTAGCATTCGACTTAGATAGTAAACTGCTCTCTCAAAACCATCTGGACCACGTGTGCTAGAAAACATCCCAAGGAATCTTCTGTGGCCGAACTGTATAATCTCAAAGGGCAAGCAGGAACTGATGCAATCATAACTGGCATTCCATAAGAGCAGATTTGGTATCCTCAAAGGCTCGTTGATGTTCAGATTCCCAAACAAAGTCTGTAGCAAGTTGTAATTTTACCAACGGAGAAAAAGCTTTAACCTTTGACAATAAATTTGCCACAAATCGGCGTAAAAATTTATCTTGCCGAGTAAACTCTGAAGTTCCTTCTTATTGCGCGGTGGTCAAGCTTTAATAATGGCTTTAGCCTTTTCACTATCAACTTTGATGCCTCCGGAATGAACTAAAAACCGAAGAAAACACTAGATGTCACACCAAAGGTGCATTTGAGGGGATTGAGCTTTAACTTGTGGCGGTGCATACATTCAAAGCAGGTTGTGAGATGTCGAAGGTGATCGGCAAAAGAAAGTGATTTCATAACCGCATCATCAATGTAAACCTCCAACAAGTCTCTAATGAACTAATGGAAAATACAATTCATGACTCTTTGATAAGTGGCACCAGGGTTCTTGAGACCGAAGGGCATAACTTTCCATTGAAATATCTCTAAAGCACATGGAGCGCGAAACGCAATTTTGGGAATATCTTCATAGGCAATGTATTTCTGATTATAACCCGTATTGCCATCGACAAAGCTAAATATTTCATATCTGACTAAATATCAATGAGAGTTTTGGCAATTGGCATTTGATATTCATCTTTCGGGGATGACATGTTCAAGTTACAAAAATCTGTGCACACTCTTGTTTTACCGTTTTTCTTGATCACCGGGACAACATTGGACAACCACTTGACATATGTTGCAACTTCTATAAAATCTACGGCTAGTAATCGTTGTATTTCCTCTTTAACCTTACCGACCACTTCTTCTGAGAAACGTCGAGGAGGCTGCTTGAAAGGTTTGAATCTAGGTCTGAGTGGAATTGTGTGTTCTACTAACTTGCGATCCAACCCAGGCATCTCTATGTAATCCCAAGCAAAACAATCACAAAAAGACTTGAGAAACATGGTGAGTTGTGTTTTCTCATTATCGAATAATGTGGCACTGATATAGGTTGGTTTGGGAACTGTGCCATCACTTAAGTCCACAGTAATCACAAGATCTTTTGTGGGCATGGAGTCATCTTCTAACTTGTCTACAGCGACTGCCAATTCATTGAGCTCGATAATGTCATTATCTGTTTCTGGGTCTGCATCATAAATAACATCCTCCCAATTTACTTCTGGGTGTTCTGCCTTAAACTTGCGTTCATCAGCAAAACACCTCAAAATGCGTTGAATAGCATCGCATTTTTTGACAGCATGTGCTAATTCAATATCAAGAGAAGCATCCTCCATGACTGATAATTGTTTAATTACCTTCATCAGAAAATTCTTCAATAATGATAGCTGGAGTCGACGGCGAAAGCAGCTTGTAATTCTGCGGCCTGTTGACTTGGTGCCACAACATCTTCCAATTTGGGAGTGTACAATCACGGCCCATGGTGGCTTGCATTGGCCTACTGTATTTGTTGGTCCCTTACATCCGATAAGGACCAACCTCTTTGTCATAGTAGTAAGCCTCAATTGAATTCGTTTGGTTTGTGATGGTGTTGCGTCGGCACTGATGATTTCTGGACGTTCGTTCCCCAAAGAATAATAGCTTAGTGTAATGAAGAAGGCATACAACGGGGCTGAATGGATCTAGTCACGGCCTAATAACGCATTGTAAGATGCTTTCGTATCCACCACAAAGAAAGCAGAAACAATGGATTGTGACCCAACAGTGACTTCCAATGGTAAGATTCCTCGAGTACTGGTAACGTCGCCAGTGAAACCACTAACAAAGATCTCTGTCGGGACCAAATCTTGCATGTGCTTGCCTAACTTGCACATCACGGAGAAGGGTAAAACGTTAATAGCTGCGCCATTATCCACCAAAACCCGTTTCAAAGGAACACCATCCATGGTTGCACAAATAAATAGAGGACAAATATGAGCAATAACCGCATCACTCGGCTGTGTAAGCATAACAATGGGTGACTGTCCGATCCTTTCTACTATCTAAATTCCATTCTTCTTGGTGTCCTTTGGAATCGTTGATGGTGTAGAGGCATCAACATCAAAGGTGTCAATCATTTCAGCATCTGTATTGGATATTGGTGGGTCAATGACTTGCGTGTCGGGTGGTGTACAAAATTTCCGTGGCAATACATAAACCATATTAACTGATGGATTATGATCAGCTACTTTGTGCCAATTTTGCCTCTTAGCGGGATGGTTTCGTGGTTTAGGCAGTGGACTTAGCGACGTCTTTGATTGGCGACACAACTGTATATCATTATAATAACCAGCTCTCAACCGTTCCCAACGCCGTTTCTTAGTACGAATATGTCCTGATGCGGCAAGGGGAACAATTGGGAATTTTTTATGTTGGTTATGATGCCAACGAGTGTCACTAACCACTTTTGGCTTCACCATTCTAGG